TACGTTGAATTTTTAATAAATATTTAAATTAAAAGAAAAAAAAAAAAAAAAAACTAACCAAAGTTAAATTCTTTTATTATTGGTTTCATAGATGGATTTAGCAATGTCGTAAGCCCATTCTTTACAACAATTGAGAATTAAACAAAAGGACAATAATGAAAATAATAATAATAATAATAAATTATGTCAAGGGTATTTTTTAGTGACTATTACTAAAAATATTGTCTTTGCATTTTACTGATATTCAAAGCTTATCACGCGAATTTGGCAATCTCTTAACACCTATGTGTAAGACTAGATTTAATTAACCACCCTTGATTATACTCCTATATTGTAATAGGTTAAGTATAACAATATATCGATATCAACGTTTCACACAAAGTATCAAGTATCAACCCATTACGTGGCCACTTTACTGCTTCGTGCCGTTTAAAATGTTTTGTAATACCGCATTTTATCGTTACGTGCAACTTCCGGCCGAAAAACTCTGGAAAAACACCGTGTTTTTCCCTGGGACAAGAGAAATCAAACAGCTGAGTTCCTTTATTCGGAAATTTTTGGCTCTCTTCGGTACCACGGTTGAGCCATTTTCATGAGAGGTCGCACGCATATTCAAACGGCCACTTTTGAGCTAATCGTCAACCACACTAGCCGAATCCATACGATATTTAAGTGGTCCTCACCCATTATCGGCTGCGACTCATTTCAACAATTTTACGGCTTAATCCATATCGCAACTAGAAGGGACACGCACATTCAAGTACCAATTGTATCTTCTGTTATTGTCTGGACTAATCTAGGAATCCCATGTCGCACCAACTTCGCGGCAACTACGTTATTGCACTCACTCACTCACACTCATATACACACTTCCGTGCTCACAGAACGCGTACGACACTGCGTAACCCCTTTCACCGATTCCACTTAGCTTCAACTGAGGCACGTAATTCTGCATTGTTACTTGTCGTACTATCGATTTATAATAATAAATTTAGAAAAATCTGGAATTACAAAATATAAATCAACTTGCAACCCCGGCGGCTTTGCTTGCTATCCATAAAATATCATTAAGAATATTGGTTTTCTCTCGTTTGTATTGAAATATCTTTTTGGAACACTTTAACGCGTTTTAAATAATTCCAAAATGCATAACAAAGTACATCCCGTCGCTTCAGCTGCTCTCTATTTATAATTGTTTGAGATATTTATTTTATTTATGTTGAAATTAAAATTTTTTTTTATGCAATAAACTATCTTTAATGTTTAACGGCATAAAAAAAAATCTCGAGCATTATTGAGATAAGGTGTGTTACTCCAATTCATCTAGTTTATGACTAGTGCTACATCATGATGAGATCTCGCAACATAGTCCATCCAGTTTGATAACATCTTTTAAACGCTATACCAAAAATGAAAAATACGGCCAAACAAAACAGTATTTAAAATTTATTTTTTAGTATAACGTCAGTGAATAAATTTGGAAGCTGTACAACTTTTAATCGAGGTACAAATGATGTTTGAAGTAGGAAAAAAGCGTTTACGTTGGCTAGTACAGAAACCAATATTACGAACAGCAAATGTGATACTTTGTCTATGTCAGTTGGTTATGAGTTGTGATCTTTATTTATTTCATAAATAATTTTGACTTTTGGGTATGAGCCAAAAATTCAATAGGTTTGATGACCTATGAAAATATCAAGAAATTGTATAGAGATCCGATGACTCAGTGGTTAGCGTGCTAGCCTCCTAGCCAGAAGAAACTCAAGGGGTCGTGGGTTGAATCCCGTTGAAAACCATCGAGATTTTTTTCTCAGGCAACGGGGTGAGTACCTAAGACACCGAAAAACCACTAATTCAATTTAAAAAACGAATAATGGATTTTTTAAATGATGGCTTTCTTTTCGAAGAAAAACAACATCTGGCTAGCTCATCGGATGAAGTCACTATTGGTTTTAAAAAATTTGGTACAGTAAGTCAGGTTTATTGAAAAAGATACTTCTATTTAACTAGATAATAGCTGAGGTGTGCTTGGGACAATCGTTACGCCTTGTTAATAGTACCTGATAGGATGGATGACCAGGTTATCTGAGAATTTTGTAAGGGACTCACACAAGAGAGGGGGGACTCCAAGACTTGCATACTTGAAGGAAAAAAGAGGATAATTACAGAAAAAAAACCAAGGATGGTAAATATTTGAGATATTAGGATACGTGAAAACTCTGGTAGTTGCTATAGGTTGAATCTAAGTACTACTACTTAGATATTCTATAAAATCTTGTAAAAGTTGCTCAAATTAAACACTGGATGAGTAACTTTTGAAATTTTTAACAGACAATCAAACTCATCAATATTTGTTGAGGTGTGGCACTACCATACATCCAACTTATTTGCTAATGAAAATGTACAGCACATTTTTGAGCAGTATATAAACTTTTACTCATACACATAACGTAATTAAATTTTAATCACTTGACGTTAAGAAACATTGGAAAACATAACCACTTGCCCTAGAGAGCTGAAGCAGTCGAAACGCCTTTGCCAAGCTATTATGCAGTAAGTATTTTGTAAGTGGCACAAAAACTTTTTTATTTACGTTACTGCTAAGTTTATACAATAGCCTATAACATATCAGAAGTTGTAAATAACCTTCTGACCGGGATTGATTGACCCAGTATTTTTTGAAATTTTCGCGACCATATAAACAAACGCTTTCTCTTTTTATAACAATGAAATGAAGCAAATCTTCAAGGATCTAAAAATGGGTAAAAAAAGCTTATTTTTAAAGTTTGTTATCACTAATTCTTAAGAAACATTACACACAAAAATTGTAAGATATTTGTTTTTTTTTTATCAACCATATAATCCAAGATGAATTATTTGAACGAAAATTCTTAATTTTTTTTATCTGTTTAAGCAATTGCACTTCAAAAGAAGTGTACTACCTCCAAGTAATTATAAGCAAACTACCTGTATTCTGCACACAAAATACGTGAATAGTAAAAACTTCATCTATTTATGGACCCACGGTATACACAGAGCAATATTCGTCTCAAGGCATATGTACTAATGGTAAGCTCATTACTAAAAATGTGCATTATGTTTTAACGGTAATAAATGTTTGTTACGGACAAAATAAAAATTGTTATGACTTAATCGATTAGGTTCACTTCAAAAAATAATTATTCTTCTGAATTGTTTAAGATAGTTAATTAGATAAAAAGTTATGAACATTTAAAGTTAGTAAACAATGCTTAATTTTTGGACCTTAAAAATTCATAAGTTTATTAAAAAACATTTTACGAAAAAGTTACTGGAGAACTTTTGTTTCTAAAATAGGCCAAACCATCTCAATAAAAACTATTCCGAACCAAAATTTGCAAGTTATGGTATTCGCTGAGGTAATTGCGGTTAAAACAAACTGTATTACTCAAAAGTATTTGTAACTAGTCAAATCGTTTTCTACGCACAAAAAAGTACTCGTTGGTGCATTCATGGACTTCTAAATGCACACGAAATGACAGCTTAGGTCCCGTTTACAGTGGAGACAGTAACCGACAGCAAAAGTCGTCAAAGGTTAAGGAAAGGTAGGTAATCAGTGCCACTGGCTGTTGCTGACGTTTCCTGACTTTTGGTTCATGTTTTTAGCAAATGTTGTCCGTTGTTAATACTACTCTGTATCCATATATACAAGAAAGGAACAGCTAGCAACATCAACTAAAAGTCAGGAAACGTTAGCAACAGCCAGTGGCGCTGATTGCCTACCTTTCCTTAACCTTTGCCAACTTTTGCTGTCGGTTGCTGTCTCCACTGTAAATGGGGCCTTATAGACCTAAAATTCTTTATATTTAGTACCGAAAATGGACAGTTATATAAGATTAATGAAATTTGTCGATTTTAATTAACAAAACTTATAAAAATTTTTTAGAACGATTTGTATCAGAGCAGCATAGCAGACATCTTACATTTCATTGCGTTTATGTAGATTTTTCTTGGAAGGTGATTGGACTGTAATTTTTTTTGTTATTTTTGATGTTGACTGTTGAGACAATTTTTTCTAGAAATAAGTCAAATAAATTGATTTTCCAATACCTACCTACTTATTAGACTCATAATAGAAGCACTTAAGGGCTCAGCATTTTAAATTAACATCGTCAATACAATAGTTATGACTAAGTGTCTAAAATTATTATTACTGTTTGTAATACAGTCGCCTTCGTAGAGTTGTTTTGTGTTCTTAAGAAACAAAAAATAAAATCAGAATAATTAGCTTTGTCAAAATAACTACACAAAAAATGCAAATTAGCTTTACCTGTAAAACTCTTACAATGAGTGTTAGTTTAAGGATTAGGTGAGCAGAATTTTACGAGTTTAGTGACATTTTGCTAAATATAATGACAAGATCACTATCTATTAGCAAATCACTTAACTGTTCAAGTTATTTTTATTGATATCGGTAACAAATAAAAAGCGAAGTTGTAACATCAAAGCATTGTTCAGAAATTAACTGAAGAGCAAAAAAAATTGTTATGGGCTTTCATGAATTTGCTAAAAAGAAGTGCAAGAGCTTTTGTTTTAAGCTAGCTCTATGTGACTGCGTAAAACCTAGGAGCACTTAAAAATAAAATATTTATTTTGTAGCCGACTGTAATATTTAAAACACTTAAATACGAATTTCCTTTTTACGTTGAAATTTGAAGTACTATTTACTCAATGTAAAATATGATATTTATGTACAGCTTAGAGAAATTTCAATAAAAAGGTGAATAATGATCTCTATAATAAATAGTTTCTACTGACAATGCATTTGCAAGCAAGTTACTATTACGGGGCTGAATATCTTGTAAGTATTTAAAAAAAGATAGATATGTTCGTTTTTCTGTACTATTCTGTTAAGAACCAAAATATTAAGTAACAAATGTTACTTGTCAATTAAGGTTACCAGTTTTATAGATCAGTATGATTTGATGCCATCCAAACCAAAGAAATAAATATAAAAATAGTTGAAAGGTTTGAGAATTTTTTATCAGTTGCATGTTTGAATAATTTTTTTTCTTAAGATCCATAAATACATACAATTCATATCAATTATGTTATAACACAGCTATTCTTTCATTTCGCCTTCTTCATCTTCTTCATCTACTCCACGTAAGTACATAACATTATTACATCTTATAAGAACTTCTCCAAGACTTCCTGTAAAGTTTCCATCGATATGCTCTTCAGCATTAGCCAATTGTATATTCATATAACCATCTACTGATACCAAGTAGCCTTTGTACTCATGCCCCCATTTTAATTTTATCATTACTGGTTTTCCTGTTAAACCATTCAGGAATGGTTTTGGATTAATAGGCATTGTTGCAGCCATTTTATACTCTGTAAAAAAACATAAAATAATAAAATAATAAAATATAATGTACTTTTTTAACACAATATTTCACATTTTTTAAGTATATGGAAAATCAAAATTAAAGTACTTTCTCTTAATTATAAAAATAGTACTACGATAAAAAACATGCTTTATTATTATGAGGAATGTACACGTACTCTTTCGTAAGTTAAATTGAATCAAGACCAGAAATTCACAAAAATATACTTACAATATTTAACATATGAGTATTAATTCGTAAACATCGAATATTTTTGAAAAGAAATGTTAATTTTTAAAATTTTTTTCCAATATTTTCGTCATATACTATTTTTAAGTGGTCGTGCATGGTGTATACTTATTAGGGTGTTCTTAATTTACCAAATTTTATTGTTCAATCATGTTCCCCCTTTCATCTTTTTGTTATATCCTGAAATGAAAATTCGTACCATAAAACTCCAAAAATTCTCGAGTTAACACATGCCACCATACATAAAATGATTTCCCACTTAAATAGCACGGGATTTCAATTTTTTAACTCCGTTTGATTTTTTTTTTTTTTTTTACAACTTAAAACATTTTTTTGATCTTGTGACTATCAAAATGTTTTTGATACTACTCGAACTTGTTACACATTTTTTTTAGCTTAAGGCAATTGAGTTGAAAAAATTTGATCTGGATTTTCCCCAATTTTGTCTTTTTTGCATCTTCCAAGACCTGAATCAAATTTTTTTAACATAGTCCTTATGAGCTGAAAAAATTTGTATCGAGTTTGAGCAACATGTAACAAAGTTTGATACTTAAAAAATTCCGAAAAAATATTATAAGAGGTACAAAAAAGTTGAAAAATAAAAATCCTATGCTATTTCAATGATAAATCGTTTTGCGTTCAGTGGTACGTTTCAACTCGAGAATTTTTGAAGTTTTATTGTACGGATTCTTATTTTGGGATATAACGAAGAGATTTAAGAAGATGTATATCTCAAAAATAAAATTTAGTAAATAATGGACACCCGAATAATATGTACATTTTGCTATATTATATAGTTGCTTAGGTTCAACGGTTAATAAGTCCTAACGGTCCTCTAAATGCCATTCCCACAGATCCTCTATTCTTTTAACTTTCCATTACTTTAACCCGATCAAATTTTGGTTGAGACCCCAATAGCATCCTAAATACCTTATAGCCCCATTAGCTCACATTAAGAATCGCACAGCCTCCATTATTCACAAGTCGCTAATCTAGAAACGCTGGAGTACGATGCCTCAAGTTTGAAAAATAGACGAAGCCTTCGCAACCATGTTACTTACTTTAGATTATTATACTCAAATTTTAAAGAAGCAGAAAATAAATATTTTATTCTATTCTATAGCTTTACCGACATATGTAGGCAAAAAAATAGTTAGAATAACAGAAATGAAACCTCAAAATGCTCCATTTCTCAGTTTTCCAAGTTTAGTTTAAATGATACAGAGAATGATTTTATCATGAAGTTAGTCGTAAGCAAAATGTACTCTAAACAGTAAAAACTGGAAGATATTTCAATAAAAACAAACTGTAAATAATAAATTTTGGCTATTTTTAAGATACAAATAATTAAATCATTAGAACTTTGCAGCAAGTTTACAAAATTTATTAAATAATTAGCTTTTTTTATTAAAAAAAAGGTGTTGCTGCTTATTTTTAAAATTTTGAATTTTTAATCAAGCCCAAGTTTGGCGACATAATTTAGAGCTCTAAAAGAAAAATAAAAAATTAGAAGATAGACAATTGAAATTTACCATGATTTTTAATTTTTCCTGCGTAGTGTGATTATGATTTCGTATTTATGATAAGGACTATGATATCTGTCGAGTTAAAATTTTAGCTTTAAATATTGTATAGAATGCGAGTTATTGAATCTCGAAAAAAATGGCTCAAAATGGCAGTTTTTTGCGATTTGCGAAAAAACGGCTGAACCGATGTGATCCCAACGCCACTTATTTTGTTCATCTTAAAATTGCACTTTTTTTTTAAAAACTTTTTTTTTTTGGGCTTTTACTGATATTTTTTGCTTGTTAAATTCTGTTTCAATTTGTTATAATACATTGAAACTACTACCATATTTTTTTGGAGCTAGTCAGAATTTTGGGAATATCGTTATGATTTTTAGCTAAACATACCATACTATCTTGTTTAATATTATAAACGGAGTAGTTGAATGATTCTTGCAGCGCTTCGCTTCCAAGTTAGAAGTCAGATATGAGAAACTTTAAGCGCCAAGCGCTTAACCAATATTGAGCGCTTTAAGCTCTACAGTGGAAGTGCAGAAGCTTGATGTTGGATGCTTTCAGCTCCCATCAAGCTTAGAGAGTCCAACTACTTTGTACGCCATGTAGCGCTCAGTATTCGAAGAATTATAAGAACTTTGTACGCGTGTAAATAATAAAGCTTTTAGATACTATGTTGCATTTTCATTTTTGAAAGTTTAAGTGAAATAATTTTTGCATGCATTCTATTCAAAAAGATAAATTTGGGGTTATTGGGCATTTATATAACCATTAACTTTAAAATAGCTTCGAATACCTAATAACCCATTCCTAAACACTAATATTTTTTATACAAATAAATATTTACATTATTTGGAAACGATTACGTAATAAGTTCAAAACTACTATCAAGTCCAACATGAAAACTAATATATACAGTTACACGGGGAGCAAAGTAGTTGAAATCTCTAAGCTTGATGTTGGAAGCTGAGAGCTCCTGCGCTTCCACCGTAGATCTTGTAGCGTTCAACATTGTTTAAGCGCTTGGCGCTCCAAGTTGGTCATACCTTACTCGTAACTTGGAAGCAAAGCGCCACCAGAATCATTAAAGTACTAAGTTTCTAATATTGAACAAGGTACAGTTAAATGTGGTATTAAGGGAGTTTAATAGTTACAATAAGATGAGAGTACCACAAGTTTGAAGTTTTATACTTCCATTTTTGATTGAGCGGACTAACAATAAATTATGCTACACTACTAGAGGGACAATATTATCTGATCGATAAGATAAAAAATTCTCATTATTTCCAAAGTGCTTTATGTAACAAACTGTAAATCCAAGTCTCATTTAATTCTGCTATCTAGTTAATTAATAATCAAACATTAATAATCAATTTTTCAGTATTATATTTAGCTTACCGAAATAAGCATTAAAAATTTACTATGAAGTCTCAAAAGAGGTTCCTAAAATGTTCTTAAAAGAGATCTGGCGTCATAGTTTTCAAAAGTCTTTGTCATAAGTCTTAGAAGCTATCTTAATATTTAAATTCAAACGTATGCTATTGAGTGATAACAGCAACTACAGTCAGTGTGGATGTAATATTTTGTAGACAGGCTGTCAAAAAGTTTGAAACTGCGTAATTACCTTGTAGAAGCCAGCCATTAATTAACTATATGTAGTTAAACAAGCCATCATATTTTTTAAGACCATCTAAAACCTCACAAATCATCGTATGAGCCAGTTTTGGGCTTCTGCATGTATATACTAATCTGAACCCTTGTGAGGTACTTAACTAGAAGCAGCAATTTTTTAAAAAACGCCACTTTTAGATCAAAAAAGCTAAATTAACAACCATTCTATATGGTTTGGTATTATACAAGGGTACCGATAAGTAAATGCTTATTAATGCTCAAAATTGACTCATGCAATGACTTGCGAGGTAGTAAATGGTTTTCAAAAAAGATGCTGGCGTGTATGTTTAGATGGCAGCACTTTTATCTACGCACTCTTAAAATTATCCATACATACCCTTACTGGATATCAAATGTACTAAAGATTCATAATACAAACTTACATATTTTCTTTTTCACGATATTTCCTGGAGAAATAAATAAGAATGAAAAAAATATTCTCCTCGGGTACGGATCGAACACGAAATCTCCTATTTACTAGACAGTTGCTCTACTACTTTAACTACCAAGGAGCCGTACATTATTTTGCACGGTAGGTTTGGATAAGTTCTCATTCTTAATTTTTGAGCTGTTTTTTTACCCCAAGCTCAATATTAAAGGTATATGACTCTAATGCTTGTAGATAAGTTAGAAATTTAATATGGCGGACTATAATGGGGCCACCAAGTATGAATTTTAACAAAAAGTTAAACTTGCTTAGTAGGGAGAAAACTGCGAGTGCATGTGTGGGTGTAATATAATTTGCACACGCGCGCGCACGCAAAAAAATAATTCTGCTCTAATCATTGAGTTGCATAATGGAGTTGGATTGTTGTTAATTCTATAAATAAATGAGCAAGTTAGTTTCGGGAATTGTTAGATTAAAATTTAATATGGTTCTAAAAGGTAATCAAGCAATATTGATATATTTACCATCGTATCTAAGAGTGCTTATATAAAAGTGATACCATCTGTATATATGCGCCTATTGATACGATGATAAATGTATCCATATTTCTCGTATACCTATTAAGACCATATTAAATTTTTAACTTGTCTACAAGCATTAGAGTCATATACCACCTATATCGAGCTTAGGTGAAAGACAGCTTTAAAATAAAAATGAGAACTTATCTAAACCTACGGTGCGAGATAATATACGGCTCCTTGGTAGTTTAAATAGGGTAGAGCAACTGTCTAGTAAAAAGGAGGTTGTGTGTTCGATCCGGACCTAGGGTGGATATTTTTCTCACTCTCGTTTATTTCTCAAGAAAATTTCGTGAAAAAGAAAATATGTAAATTTGTATTATGAATCTTCAGTATACTTGATATCGAGGAAGGGTATGTATGGATGACTTTAAGAATGGTTACATAAAAGTGCTGCCATCTAAATATATGTGAGTATTGATACGATGATAAATGTATCAATATTGCTTGTAGACCTCATAAAGCCATATTAAACTTCTTTTTTATCTACAAATGTTAGAGTCATGTACCTATTATCTATAATAATTTTGTATTAACTTATTTGGTAGTATAAAGTTTTAGTGCGCTAAGCTTTTTTAATGGTAATATTGGTAATTGTAAA